ACAGACTGATGGGCTTGTGGAGAGGCTGAATAAGACTTTAAGGACTTTAAAGACGATAATGTATTGATTTCTCAGTAACTGTCCATAATGCTTTTTTAAAAAATGGTAATATTGACCTTGACATGCATAAAGCAAGATAATTTAGGCTTATCTTAAACCTTATACAAGTGTCCCAGACAAAGTGACCTGTCCAAGATTATAAAATCTTTTCAATCAATTCAGACAGAATTTTCTTTTTTGGCACAAAGAACACTAAAAGCTGTGTCATGTCCCTTTTGAGTATGATATCTCAATTATTTTGTCTGGTGTGGTTAGAAAACATCTTAAGGATTACAGAAAGGTAGAATATGTTGATGTTGTCTAATGTATAAAACAGATATTGGACGAATTGTAGAAAAAATTCCCCAGATTACCTGAATTCACCCTATATTATTGTAACAACCTCAGACACGAATTCTGGTGAACTCAATTGCACGACTCAGGCAGGTTAGTGGATATAACAAAAAAAAAGGTTTATTTTTCGGTCACAAAAGGTGCATAAACAAAAGGCGCTCTCAAGGAGGATCGAAAAGTAGCAAAACAAAACACTAGCAAAACTTAGAATTAAACAAGAGATACTAATCATGAATATAACTCAAACTTGACTTGGCGGTGAAACACTCTTGACGCTTAAGGACAGAACAAGACGAACTGGCACAGGACAAAGGGAGACGAGGACTATTTATACATGAGGAAGTAGGAAACAGGTGAAACCAATCAGGGGCGGGGAAGACGATCACCAAGGCGGGAAATCACACAAAGGGAGGAAGTCAGGGTCTGAAATGAGAGGGAAAAGGTGAGTACCAAAGTAAAACAGGAAGTGCACGACGAGACTAGACATGAGTGAAGTTTAACTTAACACCTAGTGCTCCCAAACACACAAGACTAGACATGAACTAACACAAGCATGACATAACTTAAAACATGAACATGATTAAATTTAGCATATCTGACAAGACTTAACAATGATATTAATATAATAATAATAATTAAAACTAGAAAATCTCTCCTGCCGAGACATTTTGAATGGATGCCTTGTGCTCGTCGCCGACGCTCGCTGCAGAGAGACATTTCCTTTAAGACGAAGGACAGAGACCCTGAGAGTTGACCAATTTCAGAGAGAGAGAGACTGTAACAGTTCGAGAGGAAGGAGAGAGACCCTGGGAGAGAGAGTGAGACAGTGAGAGAGAAAGACATGTATAAAAGCTGCATTTTGATCACATGATCCAGA